CACCGAGGGACAGCCTATTTCTCCACCCCCACTTGGAGGAAAGCAGAGGTGCCGACCACCAGCACCAGCTTCCAGACGTGGTGATATGGCCTTACACAACCCAGCCCAGCGGATCCTCCAGCTAGATGCAGCTGCATAAGTAACCCGGGGAACTGGCCCAAGCCACCCAGCCAACCCACAGAACCCACAGAACCTAGAGAAATAACAAATCATTGTTGTTTTACAGCCCTAGGTTTGAGGATGGCTCTTTTTTTTTTTTTTTAATTTTATTTATTTTTGGTTGCGTTGGGTCTTCATTGTTGCACGCAGGCTTTCTCTAGCTGCGGTGATCAGGGGCTTCTCTTGTTGCGGAGCACAGGCTATAGGCACGCAGGCTCAGTAGTTGTGGCACGCGGGCTCAGTAGCTGTGGCTCCCAGGCTCTACAGCACAGGCTCAGTAGTTGTGGCACACGGGCTTAGTTGCTCCATGGCACGTGGGATCTTCCCGGACCAGGGCTCGAACCCATGTCCCCTGCATCGGCAGGTAGATTACTATTTTTTTTTTTTTTGAGGTACGCGGGCCTCTCACTGTCATGGCCTCTCCTGTTGTGGAGCACAGGCTCCGGACGCGCAGGCTCAGCGGCCATGGCTCACGGGCCCAGCCGCTCCGCGGCACGTGGGATCTTCCCGGCCCGGGGCACGAACCCGTGTCCCCTGCATCGGCAGGCGGACTCTCAACCACTGCGCCACCAGGGAAGTCCCCAGGATGGCTCTTTACACAGTAAGAGGTTACTGAAGCTGATAGCTCCGCTATGTGTGGGTATCTCCCTTTCCTGGGTCCATAAAAGAATTGGCTGTTCTTCTGCAAAAACATATGGAATTGAAGGAGAATATACCCCACTAATAACAAATAACAGCACATCTTTCTGTTTCTATCTTTATGAATTTCCATACGTATATAATAACTTTCATTTCAATTCCTAATCACAGCAAAATCCTTTCGAGGACATTTACACAGCAAGTAAGCTCACCATGTGTAGTGTCAGCCAGGCACCTCCTCAACTGGAGAGACAGTAAAGTGAGCAGCTGTGGCCAAGTTCACCGTGACAACAGATGAACCTGCAGCACAACAGCCAAGATGCCATCAGCCTAAGATGTGCCCGTACTTCAGAGCCTCAAAGATGGGGAAAATGCCTGTCACAGAATCAGTGACACGCAGCAGCTCTTGAACCCAATTGCGCCCCACCTGCCCCTCGCTGGGAGCGTTGCAGTGGCCTCAGGACAGGCCTCTCCTCCGCTATGGCTATTCCGGCTCCGTTTTCAGTCCGTACATTTTATTCCATCGCTAGCAGTGAGTCTCAAGTGCACATCTGTTCATTTCACTCCCTTGCTGAGGTCAGGATCCCTATGAATACAAGTGTCTCACCTGCCCTTCCAGCCCTCATGCCTTCCCAGGCTGCCACCTGCATCCCACTTTCCCATCTCAGGTATTGTGGTTTTCCTGACTCTTCGCACAGTGCTGATGGAGAGATACAGGTGCGCCTGAAAGTTGGGCAGTTTAATAGCAGAGGGATCGCTGCCCTACTGGAATTATGCAAGCAGGAGGGGTTGATGCCGGTGGAATCCAAGATGACATGGGGGCTTGGGCTGAGCCAGGGAACAGATTCCATTTTCCCGGTGAGGACTGTTACAGTCACTGTATCCTGTTCACTGGCACGTCTGCCTTCGCCACTCGCAGAAACTCACGCTCAGCTCATCTCTGTATCTCCAGCACATGAAGGTTTCCTGGACCACCAGACACATCAACAGATGCCTCCATTCAAGTCTGATAGTCTGCAGGTCAAAAGCTCTGTGTGTATTTGTGTTCAGTTCATAGAAGAGTCAGGACAGAGTCTCTGCTTCATACTGTCAGTACATTTAAGAAAACACTTGCAGATTTAGACGGTGTGATCCTGCAGTCCCACTCCTGGGCATATATCCAGACAAAACTCTAATCCAAAAAGATACATTCAGCACTATTCACAACAGCCAAGACAAGGAAGCAAACTAAGTGTCCATTGATAGACAGGCGAATGGATAGAAGATGTGGTACATATATACAATGGAATACTACTCAGCCATAAAAAAGAATGAAATACTGCCATTTGCAGCAACACGGATGGACCTAGAGATTATCATACTAGGCAAAGTAAGTCAGAAAGAGAAAGACAAGTATCGTATGATATTATTTATATGTGGAATCTAAAAAATGATACAATGTACTTACAAAACAGAAATAGGCCCACAGACACAGAAAACAAACTTATGGTTACCAAAGAGGATAGTGAGTGGGCAGCGGAGATAAATTAGGGGTTTGGGATTAACATATACACACTGCTATATACACGATAGGTACACAACAAGGACCTGGTGTGCAGCACAGGGAATTATACTCAATATCCTGTAATAACCTATAACGGAAAATAATCTGAAAAAGAATATACATGTCCACATATGTGTATAACTGAATCACTTTGCTATATACACGAAAGCAACACAACACTGTAAATCAACTATACTTCAATTTTAACAATGTTTTAAAAAACTACTTATTTTTTAAAAGAAAACTCAGCACTCGATCTTACAGAGAGCTGCTACTCTGCCCACCTAACAGCCTTAGAATGGGAAGATGACCAAGGGTCCACGACAGCCCCTCACGTGCTGCAGGGCAATGTCCCCCTCAAGGGGCAGTCCTGGGTTTCCAGGTTGATTTTTAAATTTCCTCCCCCCACTTTCCAAAAGGATATTGAGGTACTTCATGCAGAAAACAGATGAAAGTCTAGTAAGTTAGACGTGGAAAATTGGGAACAAGTAAATAAAGGAACAAATATATTTGTCGTAATATAGTTGCCGTGACTAATTCTAAAATCCAGGCTTCTGCAGCCAAACAAAGGAGCCCGGCCCGTGGAGCAGTTTCCGTTCTCAGCAATGCAGCCCAGTCCTCAAATGGGGCAAGGACTCGTCCAGTGCTCAGTTCTGAGATCCACGAGCCGTACATAAGGGACGACGGACACCGTAAAGCCCTTGACAGGTATCTGAACACCAACCTTTGTTAAGTCAATGCCCTCTGTTTTCTTCTAGGGCTTTCCGTTTTCTAGAACAAATGTGCTTGCTGTACCTGCTATATGCTCTTGTCACACTGACTTCATAGGAGAATCTCAGCGATAGATCTAACCTTCCTAAAATAACACATCTTTACACTACAGTTTATGCCATGTTTGTGATCATTCTGTTAAAGGCTCCGAAGTATTAAATATCATCATCAAAACCCATTAATTTTCCAGTGATCCATTTCCAGAAGAGAAAAGGGAATGCAGACAATATCGGAACAAACACGCTCACATTTTAGACCAATTTTAAACTTATAATGAAAAGAAAATTACATCCCTACCTCTAAGGAGCCAAAGTCAAAACCCCACCACCACGAAATGAGGACAGAACACAAGCAGGTAGCGATAAACCCGCACTACAGGTTCAGCAGACGGATTCAATTACCTGTGTGCTCAGAGGCTTCCAAAACCAGGAAAGTATGGGATTTCAAGCTTGTACTCTTCACGCTAAATAAGTCATCATTCAAAATTCGGTGCCCACACTATACATGAAAACACTGGGGAAGGCAGAAAAGAATAACTCTGCGGGACTAGAACCCTGTGCGTTCATGCAGGTGTTTTCCTAAATAAGTCATCATTCAAACTTCGGTGCCCACGTCATACGTGAAAACACTGGAGAGGGCAGAAAAGAATAACTCGGTGGGACTAGAACCCTGTGCGTTCATGCGGGCGTTTTCCCTTCCGGGATTGTCTGCCCCCTTCTCTGAATCACACTTCACGACCTGCACCTTTTCGCTGAGCTCCACGTGTGGATCACTCCCCAGCCTACAAACCATCATCCTATGCACGTGACTCATTCATACACAATTTGTGTCATGACGTAAGTCCACGTGTCTGTCCCCACCAGATGGAGCGCACCCCAAGGGCAGGATCATGTCTATCATTTTTGTGTTCTCAGTGATTCTCATTCATTCATCCAACAAACACTTAACACTAAACGCAATCCTTAGAGAAAATCGAAAATAAATAAAATGATCATTGAGCTCAAGAAGCTACCAAAATAACAACAGAATCAATTCAGGAAAACCTTGACACCACAAGCCAGACAACAAGAGAAAGAGGTATTCTAAGCTAGTCTCACTTATAAAGAGACGTGCAAAAATCCCTAACAACATTTAGCAAAACTTATTCAGAAAAGTATTTTTTTTAGTAGTGAGGCTTTTTAGGTGCAGGCCGGCTGGGTGAGGATTGTGGCCATGAACTCGGTGTGAAGAGGGTCAGGTCAGCTGTGTTATTCCCTGCAGGGACTCTGAGCTCCTTCAGGGCAAGTGCAGACAGAGCGAGGGGCTGGGCTCCAAGACCAGGCTTTCACCAGGCAAATGCAAGGTAGCCCCTAGGGGTAAGGAAGCCAAAGCTCCTTGCAGGAAGGTGATAAATGGTGGGTAAGACATCTGGGCTGCAACTGGAGGAAAGCAAACCCAAAGGCTGTTTGCCAGATATTGGAAAATAACAGAGAGTGCCTGGAGAGCCTGGAGGCCGGCGAGTTCTGAAGGACGGGCCTAGAAGGCCGGGAAGGACATGGCACGCATTCAACAGCTTTGTTGAATGAACGTTCTCGCAGTAGAGCCGCTAAAGTACTGACTCTATAAGCTGGTCTGGGATGTTTTCATCATGTAAACAGGTGATGAGCTCCAGGGATACACCTGATGCCTTGTTCGGCCCATTCACAGGAGTCAGCCTGTGCTGAGAAGCTCGTTCTACAATGGCGGGCCCGGCCTGTCGTGTGTCCTTTTTTTTTTAATTAATTTTTATTGGAGTATGGTTGCTTTACAATGTTGTGTTAGCCTCCACTGCACAGCAAAATGAATCAGCCATACAAAAGACACCAGGGTCGACCACGGCTGTCATCGGCCCTTTTTAACAAGGACTCACTATTTTCTTTCTTCGCGAATACTTCTCAATGTCTGAGTACTTTCTGGAAAAAAAAAAAAAAGCCCAGCCAAAAACATCTGAACAAAAACGTCGACTGCTGCATCAGCCTCAGGAGGCACCGACCACGAGGAAGGCGCTTTCTGTCCCCAGAGGACACAAGCCCACATCAACAGCGGCTCCCAGGCTCAGGAGAAAGGGCCCCAAGGAAGTCTGTTCGCTTTACTTCCCTGAAATCTTTTTTCTTTTTTTTTTTAGTATTTTAAAACTTTATTTAAATGATGCAAGGAAGGGGCTAAGAGAGGTAGGTGAGACACTGGCCTTGGGTGCAAAATTTAAGGGGACACCAAACAAGCCGGTCATCAAGATAAACACGACTTGAATGCAGCCCTTGAAAAATCAAAATGCAAAAAGTAATGCACGATGAACAAAATATAAAAACTTTAAATGGAAGCAGGATGAGTGTTATCGATTTTTCCTTTTGCCTCAGGCCGCAGTGTAGCTGACACGTGCTTTTGCATTATGAAAACATTGCTCACAGATCAAACCTACAATAAGGTTTAAAAAGTGCGTTTCTTAAGAAAAGGAGAGGTAATCCGGTGTGTGTGACTGTGGTGTGCAAATGGCAAAGACTGTGACAATGGGAAGAGGTTCAAGTGTAGGTGCTGGAAGGCAGGTCTGGGGCCAGTAGGTGGGGGGGGGAGGTGAAGTGGACCCCAGATGGCCCTTGAACACACCCCCGATGCCTGGGAAGCCATGCTTGTGCCATGAGCGTCTGCCCCTTCGGCCAGACTGGACTGATACCCAAGGGCTCCCAACTGGAGCCTCCTGGGTCCTGGCTCTTCCCTGAAACCCTTGAAAATCCAATGGCTCCTCACTTACGGGGGGCGGGAGGCAGGCGGGCGTCTGACCTAAGGCCATGCGTTTACAGGCACCTCTGCCCCAGAGCTTCTATATGATCTTGGGGCGGCGAGGAGGGGAACCCTAACATTTTTAAGTTTTTGACGGTGGATTAATCACGTTTGCAAACACAGTTTCATCACACAGCCCTCACGATGACATGCAGAACAAGCGTTACTGCTCCCCCTGGGCTGGTGAAGAACCCGGGCTCCAAACATGAGGGTTTACTTAATGCCCCACAGCTGATCAGCAGAAGGACTGAGACCAAAATCCGATCCAAAACCCAGTCCATCCTCTTTCTACCCCACCGCAGAGCTCTCGTTCTCCTTCTGTGCCTGACAGCCATGCAGACCCATGTGCTGTTTCCGATTCTTCACCGACTCCAACCTCTGCCGTGCATGCTTGGAAAGGTCTCCCCAACGTGGGTCTCCAGCAGACCAGCACCCGCCTGGTCTACTTCCCATGTGGTGACTGGACCTCAGTCTCTTATAGACTCTGCTCACCCCCAGCCCAACCTCTTTGGCGAGGGAGAAAGCTATTTAAGCAACCAGCAGATTCAGGTCAGGGTTCAACACATGAACAGAAGATGGGAAGAAACAAAACACACTGAAAGGCAGAGGAACTCGTGCAGGGAGCAGCAGACACAGAGTAGAGAGAACCGTTCAACTCAGTCCGACAGCCCCACCATATCTCCACCCGCCATGCTGTCAGGACCGTCAGCAACGGACTAAGGTGTCGACAAAGTCATGAAATATCCACGCTGACCAGGCGCGCGGGCAGGACCCTAACCTAAGCATCTGCCTGCATGTCACACTGCTGGGGGGTCACCGTCTGTCAACAGGGCGAAGGGAGCCTTAAAGTAGAAAACCTAAGAGCACAGGAGCCAAAACAGGCATAAGGGCCCCCAGACACGGCTCCCCCGGTGGCGTCTCAAGTCTCCCACACGCACCCAGAGCTCCTGCAGGGCACCTCGGGGTGCGGGGAAGGCCTACCACCTGCGAGGCTGAGGCCACCTGCCTGCCCCACAGCGGGATGAAAACTGACACCTCGTCCTCAGCACAGTGACCATAAGAGCACGACAGAGAAGCCCGACGGGGAGGGCTCCTGCAAGCCCTCAAATAGTCCCGACATTAGTGCGGGTCAAACGCACCCCCGGGGGCTACGCTGCCACAGGGCCGAAATCCCCCAGACTGGCTGTCTCAGCAAGACCTGGAGACGGGGAGCAGTGCTCGGTGCCCGCCTTACAAACCGTACCGAAGGGAGACGCAAGGGGGAAGAGATATGGGAACATATGTACGTGTATAACTGATTCACTTTGTTATAAAGCAGAAACTAACACGCCATTGTAAAGCAATTCTACTCCAATAGAGATGTTAAAAAATAAATAAATAAAAATAAATAAATAAAATTTAAAAATTAAAAAAAATAAAACAAAACAAAACAAAAAAACCGTACCGACCGTCATGTGAAGGAACACTCGGGCTCGTGTGTACACGCCCCCGAGTGCCCGACACCCCGGCGCTGGAGAAGTGGGGATGGCCAGGTCCCGTGCAGCTCAAGGCCTGGGCCCTGGCAGAGCGCATCTGCTGACCACCAGCCTATCCTCCCGTGCCCCACGCCCGCCTTCCCGGCTGACCCAGAGGCAATAAGCCCAACCACAGTCCTCATCCCAGGGCCTTCGTTTGGGACCAAAACTGAGGAGCTGGATCAGTGTGAACCGCAGGCCTTCAGTCCGGCAGGTCAGCCTTCCTCCCGACCCTCCGCCAACCCTGGTCCAGCCCTGACCCCTGGCGTCAGGCACTCGGGAGCGCATCTGGAGCTGCAGCCCCGAGAGCCCCAGACTCACAGATAGGCGTCCGTGTCTGGCCAGCACATCAGGAAAGTGAGGAAGGGATCTGGACTCTACAGACCTACAGATATTTGGAGTTGGGAATACTGAGGTTTTTCATACAAATACGCCCTGAAAAGCAGGGTGGGTGAGACACGGAAAACCAAGGAGGTGTCAAGTGTAAGTCTGCCCTGGGAATGGAACCAGACCGCCTCATCTCGTGACCTCAAGGACCGGGAACCATGAGAAGGGTGCTCTGCACATACAGAGCCTGCTCTGCCCTGTGAGCATCAGGGCAGGACACAGGATGCAACTCTGAGCGCAAACGCTGGGCTCGTCTACCTCAGGGGAAAACCCCGGGCGTCCCCCAGGCCTGAGCCTACAGGACAGCACTGTGGCCTTCACTACTGGCGCTCGGCTGCCCCATCCTAGATGCAAGCCGGAGACTGCGGGGACAATCGTCACATTATCTCAGGGGACGGGACAAGAGTCCCCACCGTCTCATCTTCCTCCCAGCCATTCCTTCGCATCCACAGATGCACACACCGGGGCGTGCCCTGTTACGCAGGTCCAGGATCTACTACAAAAATCACTGCTTTGTTCACCGGGAGAGACTGCCAGCCTGCACACACTGTTTTAGATAAGGAAAAGCAAGTCGAATTAAGAAAACGAAACTGTGCCAGATGGAGCGTGGGCTACCATGACCGTGGCCTGGGGCCAGCTCTGTCCTGTACGTTTAGACTCTTGACCTCTGAGACCCCAGGAACCCCGGAGAAAGACTCAATACGGGATCTCACTGTCCTTGTGGCTCTATCCAACAGCAGTGGTTCCTCCATGCCAAAGATTTTGAAAATTCAAAACTGCCTCATAGGGACTACCCTGGCGGTCCAGTGGTTAAGACTCCGCGCTTCCAATGCAGGGGGCACGGGTTCGATCCCTGGTCGGGGAACGAAGATCCCACGTGCCGCGTGGCGTAGCCAAGAAAGTATTAAAAAAAAAAAAAAATGCATCATATATAAAACGATAATATCAAGTTTCACTACAGAAAAATAGCAGGTACCTAAACTGACCGTACTTGGGAGAGGAGCTGGGGGGAAAGGCAAATTTTACTAAGCAGGAAGGGAAGAAATGAAATGTGTTCACTGTTAGACTTCTCTGGGGACCTTTGGGGACTTCCAATAAGGGAAATACTGGAAGGCCTCCAGTCCTGCCGCAACGTAAAAATGGCTGTCTTGCAAATCCTTTGTGGTGTCCGGAAGATGCCCATTCATTGTAAATAATCTGTGAGTAGAGAAAGAAAAAATGAGCTGGAGACTTAAGAGCCATGACATCAGGCTGGGGGCACCCGGTACGTAATGCGACGGGTATGTGCACCACAGGAGAGCTGATGCTCTGAGAGCAAACGTAACCAAAACGGGCTAACGGAGCCCTGCGGGAGCGGCTCTGCCAGGGTTAGGCTCGCTTTCCATTTTTAGATTTTTTAATTAAAGTGTATCTTTAATTATCTACAAGTATTCAGAGGGCCCTGAGAACATTTAAGCTGTTGGTTGGTATTCAATTAATTTTAACTAATAACAGTTAAAATGAATACAAATTGGCTTATATTGTTATAACAATACTTGGAAAACAACCCGGCATTTATTAGCAAATAATATGCCTTTTTGTAAGCACTAAAAGACTAATATTTGTCTATGTTTTATTCTGCACTCTTTTTTGGCATGTATTAATTCATAATTCATTTATTTAAGAAAAAGTTCAATGCATTCAATGCTGAGCATCTGTTAGGCACCATCCAATGAGGTAGGCCTTGTGTAAAACATATGAAATAAGAAAGCCACTGCTTTCCCAAAGTCAAGCAGTGTATAAAAGCCTATAGAGGCAAGTATGACCAGAGAAGGGCAAAACGTCGATGTTCTAAGAGGAGAAAGAGTAAAGGCAACTATAGGCTTCACTGAAGTGAAAGGTACAAGGGTAGGTAGGAGCTCCTCATGTGAAGATGGGATGAAGCCTTTGGGGCGGCAGAAGGGGCCTCTGCAAAAAGCCAGAACACAGGGGATTGACTGTCACCGAAGGGTGAAATGCACCCTTGGGTGAAATGGAACTTGAACGTTGAATCCCAGAGCCTGGAATTCTAGGGGGAGGAGCTTATCATCAATTTAGTCGGAGTGAGTGGGGATTTGCATGGAAGTGTGGGGTAAGCACAGTGTTTTAGCAACAGGCGGCTGGCCATCGTGGGTGGGATGTGATGGAGGAAAAGCACCTCACCTGGGGGAGGAGATGCAGAGCTCTCGCAGGGCGTACAACATGTTCACGAATGACAGCAGTGAGCACAGGAAGGGAGAGGAGAGAAGGATGCAGGGCACCTGGAACAGGTGGGACCCACAGGACTCAAACCTCCCTCCCCTGAGCACCCCCCAACCTCAGCGAGCAGGGAACCACCAGATGGCCGGCTCATGCACAGCGCTGGGCCCCCGCCCTGGAGTTTGTGATTCAGTGAGTCTAACATGAGGCCTGAGCATCTGTTTCTAACAAGGGCAGCTCCTGGACCTGCTGCCTCGGGTCACCCTGTAGGACCAAGATGAAGAACTTCCAGACAGGGGGCAACTGTGAGACGCCCCAGGGAGTGGAACACAGGGCTTCCAGGTGAGAAGCAGGGCTTGGAACTTCCTTCCTCTCCTGTTGTCACCTTGGGACAATCGGTGCCCATCCCTGGAGGGCTCACAGCTGGCACGAGTGTCCCCAGGAGCAAGCCAGGGAGCTGCAGACGCCCTCGGCAGTGAGGGGCCCAGGGAGGCGGCAGGACTGACCGGCTGCGGCTGCAAGGACAGCCTCCCCCCAGAGCTCAGGTGCTGGAGGCTGGACCGCAAGGCGCTGGGGGTAGGGCCTACCTTGGGAGACTCCACCGGAAGCAGAAGTGCTGGGACACATGGACCAGGCACTTAACACAAACGTGGAAAACGTTACAGAAGAAATAAGGGAAATATGAAATAAAGAAAGAAGCACAAATTCTTGTTTGGAAGATAAAACAGAGGAACTCTCCCAGGAAGCAGCAGGGAATGATAATAGAACATATAGAAGTTAAGAAATAAAATGAGCAGAAGTACCATCAACCAGACAATAAGAATCCCCAAAATAAGTTCAATTAGGAGCAGAAAGGAAGAAATACGGGCAGAAATAATGAAGATCCGTGTCACAGACCGAAAGAGGGAAGACCTCCAACTGGAAGAGTCCACAGATGGTGAAAAAGCAGACAGAAGAGTTCACCAACACTGCCCAACCTGTGCCCGACAAACGCGGATTGAATCAAGCATTGAGGGTGGAAACGGTCGTATCTCAGAGTCTCAGAACTTGGCAGGGACCGCTCACCACCCTTCTCTTCCAGCAGGTAGAGAGCTCTGCCAGGTGCACAGAGCCCAGGGCTGCGAGACGTGGGAGATTCAGCCTCTTTCCTCTTCAGTTCCTCCCCGTGCTAACGACCCTTCTTTCCGGAACCGCGTCTGGCCAGCCTCACGGCCAGGCATCACCCATAACACTGCATTTCCCAACCAGGGCTGGACCAGGGTGAGGCGAGAGAAGCACCCGGGTGCAGATCTGGGGGGTGCCCGCTTTCAGGGGTGCACCAGCATCTCCTCCCAAGCCCAGCACACCCCGACCTCTACTCGTCCGCCGTTCTCAAGGCGAACCTCTTCTTCTGGTCTATTCCTAGACTGGGCTGCACACCTGGGTGTGCTCCTCTCCTACACACTCTGCCCTCCACTGTGATTCTTTTTGATTCTGCCTTCTCTGCGGGGCCACAAGCTCAACAGGGGTGAGCGGACCAGGCTGGGCCTCCCGCGTACAGCGTGGTGCCCACCGTGCAATCAGCACGCAACACACGTCTGCGAAAAGCACAGTTTTCTAACACCGAGATCAGCAATAATCTCTCACACAGAGACCCACACACAATCTTAACGGTTTCTCTGGAATATATATATATCCCAGAAAGTTCAAAACTATCCAATAAATCAACCAATTTTAATACCACTGAGAACTTGGCTAAGTCTCTAACGGACACAAGAAAAAGGTACAGTAGAAACCTCCACTGAACCATATTAACATTATCTAAGGGATGATAAATACAGATAGATACAAACGACTTCTCAAACGTATGTTGACTATTAGCTGTCGGTTCCGTTCAAAGATAACATGTACGTTGATAATAAAAAAAAAACCTGTAATGTGCCTATTACATCACCCTTTCAAGCTTACTATTGAATATTTGTACTTTCTAAGCATTTCCTTTATTTCCAAGCTCTGTACTTTTTCTAAACTCAGCCACAGAGAACTAATTTAAGCCCAGGGAAAAAAAGAAAGGAGCGTATTGATCTCGTGTCCTATTTTCCCTCTAGATATGCTACTTCCTTGTTTTCTTCCCCCTCACAAAGATTTTACCTCTTCCTTTCACCACTATGTGATACTTGTGATTTTAGACGTGATACTTATGATTAATCCCACTACTGTTTCTGGCTTCTTCCAAAAATATGCACAGGCCTATCTGCTCCAGACAACTGTCCCTATTTCTTTAAGGATGAAACACGAATACTTATAACTGCATCCTGAAGTCACCTGGGCACTTACAGGACTTTTTATTATGTGAACAGCGGTCTTCCTGGAACATTGGTATTCACTGTTATTCACCACCCTCACTAGGCTAGCGAGTATCCCATTGCTCTAAATGTCCCAACAGTTATGTCCTGCTCACTAGTAGACACAACAGTTGTCATTGTTGGTATCACAACTCTTGACTGTCAATAGATCTTCTATGTTTTAATTCACCCCCGAGAAAGAGTTAATGGACACAAAAGTGAAAAGGGACTGAATGTTTTTGCTCTTCCTCTCCAATGCCAGCCACCCGGAACCATACTGTCCATGAGGACGACGCTTCTAATGGTCCTTCCGCCTCACTCCACATCACCCGACTTCCCAGCTTTAAAGGTCTGTGTCCTCCTGCGCTTTCCCACCCACTCCCGTGGCGAGACCCGGGACTTCTCATCACCCCGTGTGTTCCCAAGTCCAGGTCTTCTTCACCTCCCACTACAGCCTGTAGCCTCGCGGCTCTCCACTCCCTCCCTCCCGCCCTCCTCCAACCGCCAGGCCGGGGTCTGAGACCACCGGGCCATCCCTAGAGTCACCTGCACACACCGAACCCCTCCTCTGCTGGTCCTTCCCACCCTCGGCCATGGACGAGTCTATCTTCCCCTCCCTAGTCCCAGGCTGCCGAGCGTCGGAGGAAACCACAGCCCTGCAGCGTGTCCCACTGCAAATTCGGGGTCCAGGCCAGTGGGGCCCCCAACACTGCTCGGCCAGTGCAGCACACCATCTCCTCCATCCAACGGTTCCATCCCCCCGTGACGGGCCCCGTCACCACTCGGACACCAGCTCCCCTGCGTGGCTCCCCGAATTCTCCCGCCCAAGAGGCCTCATTACATCACCTGAGCATCTAACTGAATGTTAATCACTGGCCACCCGGCAGGGGCACGGGGGACCCGGGGGATTGGGGCGACCACATCTCAGCCTTGTTAGCTGTATTCACCACGCCGAGGGTGAGGCAGATGCTCGCTAAACTTTTTTGAATGAATGAATGAAACTGTTAAAAATAAGTATGGCCCAAAGACTGCAGAACTATTGTCTGCCTGAAGAATTAAAATCAGAGTTCACGAGAAATCATTTCAGACCTTGCTGGACGGGCAGGAAATTCTCACTGAAAGGCACAGAACGAGTCCCTCCTTCCGGGTCCCCAGAGCTGGGCCAGAGCCTTACTTTCGAACGCCTCCCAGAGGAAAGACCTTCTCTCCGATCATGGCCAGCACGCAGTTTCACTCCGTCAGGCTGAATTTGGGTATAATAATCTTTACAGGTGGAATAAATAATCTTCCATTTGTGAAAACACTGCAGGAACCAGAGGAAAAGCCTCCATTAGGGCCTCACACCTTGGGGGAAAACGCTGGGAATTCACGAAAGATACCCAATTACAGAAGCATGGAGACCACACGGAGCCCTGAGCAGCCCCTGGTGGCCCACACGCCACCGCATGGAGGACAGTCCCCAAGCCCCATAGTGCTCAGAACCAGGGAGGGGCCAGAAACGCTGGTGACACGGCCTCATGGGATAGAAGACACCCCGATGAACAGGACTAAACTCTACTCTTTAAAAAATAGGCCTCCGTGACAACGGGGAACATGGAAGAAAACTGTGTCCATTTGGAAAACAAACGGGGAAATTTGGCGTTAAAAATGCAGCTGCTGTCCCCTCCTTGGCGCCAAGAGAGTGTCCCGGAGGAAATAACGTGCAATCCTCTGGAAAGATAATAGAAACCACTGGTTTCACTCTCACAGTTTAAGGCAGCTTCCCTGTGGTCCTGGTGGGTTTGTTTTCTTATTTCTATGGGCTGGGGCTGGGAACACGGCTGGGGTCCGCACAAAACCCAGTACAAAGCTACTAGTTCCCTGGTGTTACAGTCAAAGCCACTTAGCAACAGTTTCAAACTCTTATTAAAATATTGTAAAACATGAGGCTATTTCTTTAAGTCTGAAAGTTACGGAGAGCATTTAACAATACAGGAGCTCAACTTCACGGGGCTGACTTTCAATCTGTTACTTTGTTATTTATGATTACTGTTGTTGTTTTTCCTTAAATGTAAATAATTTAAAACTGGAGAAATACATCTCTTGTTTCAGAGTAAATATAAATTTTAAGTTAACACGTTTGTGCACAACAAAAAGGATCAGCTAAGGCTCTGTGGAAAGAGGCTTGCCATCACCCCAGAGGCCACCTTTTTCCGTACTTAAAGCCTCTGCCCCAAAACAAACCTCGAAAGGGGCATTCTGCGCAAGTCGTAGCAAAGCTCATCTGTGATGTTACCGCTACCCTGAAGATTTGCTGCAAGGTTTCCACCCATCCGTGTTCCTAAGTGGTGCACGCCAAAAGTCTCTCCAAACACAGTCGGCTAATAATACAAGAAATAAATGTTGAGACAAGGCCATGTTGTGTTTTTGTCTACATTTTTAAGATCTTTAACACAGATTCTCACGCTGAGTGCGGGGAAATAAGCACACTGTTATGGACTGAACTGTGTCCCCCACAGGTTCTGGCAGCCCTCGCAGGCTGATACACACACACATACACTGTTGACGTGGGTAAAAGTGAGCACAACCTTCCTGAAGGGCGACTTGGGGACACGGACATGGAGACGCGTGGGACCAGGAATCACTGACACAGTCTGTCCACTCCCTGAAATCCAACCCACGGAAATGTGGGCACGTATACGTGAACCTGTAGAAACGTCTCTCGCAGGGTCACAGGCAAACCTCAGAGACATCGCGGGTTTGGCCCCTGACCACAGCAACAAAGCGAGTCACACGAAGTTTTTGGTTTCTCAGTGCATAGAAAAGTTACGTTTATACGACACTGTAGTCTATAAAAACAATGTGCGTACGTTAATTTAGAATACTTTATTGCTAAAAAAGATGTTTACTATCATCTGACAACAGAGGGTGGCCACAAACCTTCAATTTGTAAAAGAAGAAAAGCATTATCTGCGAAACACAAGAAAGCAGAGCGCGATAAAACAAAGTAGAAAGTTTGCCTGTATTTACGAAAACTAAAATATAAAAACAACCTAAATGTCCAAGTGCAGAGGAATGGTGAAACAAAGCACAGGCTACAATGATAACTAATGCAGCCATTTAAAACTGTTTATGCAGAATTTGTATTTAGGGGGAAAATGATCAAATACAATTAATGCTGTAAGAAAACAACACCAGCAAGTACAGAGAGAACCAGAAGTAAGTGGCCCTCCAAGTTACCAGGGGCCGTCTCTGAGGAGAAGGCTAACGAGCGATTTTGATTTTATTCTTAACACATTTCCAGATGTCCACTTTTTTATACGAAGCATGTAAATACGGAGAAAAGGATTTTTTAAATTGTTAACGATCAAGAAAGAAATGTTAACAACAAAGACATTAGGAAATTTCAAGTTTAGAGGGAGTAATGGACTTAGCACATCCCCAGCTTTCCGGTTGAGCTGGAGAATGAACTAGACCCTTCTCGCTCTGCCAGGTTTTAGGTCTGTGCTGTTTGAGCATCAGACAGCCCGTCTTCCACCTGACGATCCAGGTAGACGGATGACCAACCCCAAGAAATACACCCAAAGACTGTTTCCCTAGAAAGTCTGTGACAGAGAGGTAATGGACAGGCACAGCCCCTGGACACACAGTGAAAGCCCATCATTGTTAATTACGTACAGACCGCTTTTGTAATACTAGGCAGCCATTTTTAAAAGCACAACGTATCTATATGTGCTAATAAGAAGCCATATTAAATTCTGTGAAAGAAGAAGGAAGATACACAGCAACGCTTGCAGCATACACACGCCTCTAAATCCTTGAACATGCGAAGCCTGTCTAACAAGGACACTCCAGAAACCTTTAACAGTCGCCTCTGGGGATATAAAGTGGGCAGAAGATTTACTTTTAATGTATACCTTTTAAAACGATATATTTACCATGGGTGTAAGTTACTCTGGCCATAAAAAATAGTTAATTTTTAAAAATTACTTTGAAATAAGAGAGGTTAAAGGCATAAAACAGCTTTGCCAATACACCTCCCGATGTGCTCATTAATTTTTAATAGGTAATATTTTAAATATTTTAAGTGAGACATACTTTAAATTTTTTACATAGGAAATGTTTTGAATTTTTCAAAGTAGGAAACAGCACTTGGATCTAGGAATGGATTTTGCCAGGTGACGCGGTGACGGTGGTGGTAGTGGCAGTGGACGCCACTTACTGTAGCACACAGCTTAGTTAATGACAGACCAGGACACAGACCTGAGCCTCCGCCTCCAGGCTGGCGGCTTCTCCTGAATGTGGACTCGACCAGCTGAATTCTGAGGACACGCAGACAGTCGGGGGAATAGCTTCTCTCTCCACCATCCAGCTGCTACAGAACTCACACTCAGCAGCCCCCCACTCCCTCTACCCCAGCTCCCGGCTTACCGGGAAGGGTCAAAACACCTGTCACCTCGAACATCAAAAACTCTGAAAGCCATCGTAACTATTTTCCGTTTGTTTTTAAGTTACAAGGTCTCCAAGCAAACATGATCAGGCCTTCCCTTGGGAGAAAAGGCCTTGCATTTGGACGGGTATTTGGGTCCATCTAGTGGAGTTTCTAGCACACCATATAAAGAATAGAGCACATGCCTTAAGAATAGCTGGTTTATAACAGAAAAAAAAAAGTCTGTCAAAATAAGTGAGAACCATGGACAGTGTGGGTCAGGCTCCCCAAAAACGTATGTCTAGTGATACGTGTCTTTGCCAGAAAGGACCCATAAGCCAATAATGTTCCCTGGGATTTCTATCCATTCTTCAGAAAGCGGTGTCCTTCGTAAAATTTAGAAATACTGCGTCTCTCATCATTTCAGAACAGCTCTCAGATGTACAAAAGGCACAGTGGAAGGATCTCAGGTGTGTTGAGTGGCTCCCTTGCAGAGGCCTAAGGAGAAGTATTTTAAAGAAACGATGGTTGGGTTCTGGAAGGTAAGTGAAAGGGACAGCCTAGCTAATAAGCAGGTCACGCTTGCTCCATCCTTGGGCTTCCCAGCCGGGGGCTCCGCTGTGTCTGGCAGGGGGTTCCCAGCCTCCTGGGCCCCCAGCCCTTTGCTGGTCAGCAGGGGCGTGAAGGATGACTCGTCAGAGTGTGGGCTCTCTGCTACCCAAGGCTGGGACTGGCCTGCTGCTGCCGCCCCTCAGACATAGAGCCAGGACCCTGGAAACTCACTGAAATTCCTTCCGCCGGGAACAGAACCGGGTAAGAGGGAAGGTGCCCTCTGGAACTTCAAGTCAGGGATTTTCATCCCTATAATATCAAAGCGGCACAATGTATGCAGGACTGGGAGGAAATGGCTGCCACGTGGAGAATTCCTGCCCCTTAACGAGCACTGGGCGGGCTTTCCTGGGACTTTGCAGGTGCACGTCACCACCCTGTTTACAAATGAGGAGGCAATTCAGAGAGAGGAAGCGTGTGCAGGTCACAAAGCCGACAGGTGAAAAGCGGGATTTGAACCAACGTTTGACCTGAGTCAAGTGTGTTCTCTTTCTACAGCCCCAAGCATAACGCGGGCCGGCCCACAGAGGGGTCCCGATTAACCGGGACTGAGTCCCCCGGCACCTCTACACCTGCCCCACCAGCCGCTTCCCGGGGCGGCCAGCCCTCAGGCAACCTTGACCAGGGCGCGTTGAGCATCAGACAGCCCGTCTCCCCCGCCAAGGGGCTTTGGTGGGAACGTAACTTCTACATTTCCTTTCACCAGCCAGCAGCTGCAAGGGCTAGGTTACCAAAAATAAACAAAAAGCCAAGACTAAGCCGTGCACTTCCACCCCACGTGAACTGGCAGCCGCGGCGGGGCAACGGCATTGCTTCTCCAAAATCAAGGTTCACGAGACAAGAACGCGCAGCTGAGCCACACAGAGGCTCCCGGGGCGGGGGGGGGGGGGGGGGGGGGTGAGCGTCAGAGAAGGGCGGGGACGAGCAGAAGCGGGCGAAGGCGGCGCAACGTCTTTAAGGAGCTCCACCCCCCGCACCCCACTGTACTCACCTGATTTGTCGGGATAAACGATGGGATGTTTGCCACCTGGGAGGCACGTCTATGTCACAATGAACCACCGGCTTGATCTGAAAAAAAGAAAAAAGAAGCCTCAGAATGCAGTTCAAGCTAAAAAACGCTTGTTAAATACCAACAGTAGGCACAGCATTCGACCCCAAACCTAAGGTAAAGGTGGGGCAGCCTCGCTAAGAGACCGCAGGGCAGGGCCCGGGAGGGGCCCGGGCAGCACTGGGCTCCGTGCCGGGCGGTGGCCAGGAGTCCAGCCGGGGCGATGCGGGCGGCTGTGCTGAGGGGCCGTGCGGTCCAGGGGGCGGCAAGGTCCCCGCTGAAGGTGCCCAGCAAGGGGCTGTGCGGTTCCCGCTGAGGATGCTCCCACAGCAGCTCACTCCACCGCCTGGGTGAGCTCCGCTGGGGCCCCGAGACGGGACAGGGGCTTCTAATTCAGGCCATGGGGTTCAAGCCAGGATGTCCTGGCAGGTGAGAACGCCTTCCCAGCGTGTCCTGACCCTTCTCTTCTCTTTTCTGTGAATCCAACCTGAGGGGCTGAGCCGGCTCTGGGGCCCCATTCAACTTCGGCCTCACGCCCACCAGGGCCAAGACACCCAGGCAGGCAAGAGTCCCCAAGACCTGCCCCCCGCCAGCCCCGGGCCCCCTCCTCTCGTCAGAGCTGGCCTGCCTCCTGGCACCTGGCCCGGAAGGGAGGGCACCGCAGCAGAGGGTTTCCACCCAGGCCTCCCACCCGCCCGTCTCCCTGCACCTCCCTGACCCGCCAGGCCGCCCGGTCACATACAGACAGGCCAGCCAACCTCTAATGTCGGCGCAGTGCCACTGAATTATCCCAAGTTGAGTAAAAGTCACCTACAGCAGTTCCTTTCCCGAGAATAACACCCAAGCAGCATCCTCGGGGTTCCCCACGGGAGCAGGGGCAAGCTGCGCGGCCCACCATCAGCACAGGCAGACGTGGGCAGCTCACGCTTTCCCAGCGCTGTGTTTTGTTTTTTGCGGTACGCGGGCCTCTCACTGTTGTGGTCTCTCCCGTTGTGGAGCACAGGCTCCGGACCCGCAGGCCCAGCGGCCATGGCTCACGGGCCCAGCCGTTCCGCGGCATGTGGGATCTTCCCAGACCGGGGCACGAACCCGCGTCCCCTGCATCGGCAGGCGGACTCTCAACCACTGCGCCACCAGGGAAGCCCCCAGCGCTGTGTTTTAAATGAGGAGCTGGGAGTGGTGTTATCTTGTCTTCTGAAGAGGAGGACGCCGGAGAGAGGGGAAGACAGAGGTGCTGTGGAGAAGCCTGCCCCGGCATCTCGCTGTAAGCATGGAGCGCCTCAGTCACGGAGGGAGCAGAACAAATCTGGGGGGCAGCCTGGGAGAGGAGAAACCACAGTCTCTGGGATCGGACAGACCAGGGTTCAAACTCCAGCCCAACCCCTTACTACCTGTGTGACTTCGGAGAAGCATTTCACCTTTGAGCTACAATTTATTAATTTGGGAATGGGGATGATATACCTTGCAGCGTTTTTATGAGATAACATTTTATAAAAGGCACAATGCCATACCTATTATCGCATACGATAAATACACAGTCTAGTAAATATGAGAGTCTCCCAACACACACAGACACGCAGAATCCGGGCCGGGGGGGAGGGGAGGGAGAGAGAGACCGTTTCAGCATCTCAGTTGGATTACAGCCCAAAGACAATTGCTGATTTTACCCACAGCCAACTGCTCATCCCCAGACGCCCCATCTCAGAACACGGCACTACCCTAGACCCACTTGCTCAACTACCAGGCCTGGGAGACACCGGTGGGTCCTCTCTTCCCTGACACCCACAACTAAGCCATCAGCCCATCTCTCAGTTCTACCTCAAAACTGCACCCTGGGCCACCCTGTTCCTGCCACCCCGCTGGCCAAGCCTCCCCATCCCTCCCCTGACTCATCTCCCCACCCCCATAGCCCTTTCTTCACAGCAAGCGGAGGAGCCTCTGTAAACACAAACCAGGACGCCATCACTGTCTGACTTAAAGCCCCAGTGGTGGAAAGACCCACACTTCCAGTAGGTCCCCGCTCCTCAGCTAGCCCACGTGGCCACGCGGCTCGCACCGCTGCCTCTGTGCCCTCGTCCCTCCCACAGCACCTCCCATGCCTGCTTTCTTCCAGCTCTTTAAGCACCGAGCTTGCTCCCACAAGCACAAGACCTGGACCCTGGAATGTTCTCCCAGATCTTTGCACGGTTTGCTCCCTCTTGCACTAAGAAGTCAACGCGGATGCCAGCTCCTCAGAGAGGACTTCCCTGATGATCACACACCTTGATGCATGTTCACCACAGCACTTGATATTGCCTAATATTTGTGTGTTTATTTACTTGCTTATTATTGATTCCTCCTTGTAGAGTGTAAGCCTCCTGAAAGCAGGGACCTTGTTTGTCATGTTCAACAAAGTACTCCCATTGCCTGAACAATGGGCGGCCCATGGTAGGAGTTTGATAAGTATTTCATGAATATGAATGAAGAATGAACAAATGAATGACAAGTGAGAAACAGCTCTGATACTCTGGAAAGAATCCCAGAAAAAGTGAGTCCGCTGAGGATTGTGGCAATGCACACCTACATCCATTGTTACCCTACTGTCATACTATATATAAAATTATGTATACTTGCGTACTAATAGTGACAAAATCAATGCCATGAATATCAACGACGACCGTGAATTTGCAGACGTAGTTTGAAAACAAAACAACAGAAATTATCCTCTGCAAAATTCTATTAAGGCACAGCTACCCTAAGAGGCAGCTTTCTTGACTGCATAAATTTATGGAAACAATGAACTAACTGCTTTCTTACATGTTAATGATTCATTAACCCTGATATCACCTGCCTAATTAAATGACCCCAGCAATTAAATGCATATACGCTTCTGGGCTTTTCCCCCTGCACTCCACATAATAATCTCCGAAGAAGTACCAAGCAAACGTGCTTTGCTGTTACTGTCTGATGGTGATGACAGTTTCAAGACTCGTGTCATTCACCTGCCCTGAGAGGCAGGACGTAACGGGCTTTAGAGCTCTTTAACAAGGGTCCAGGGTAATTGAACCAAATCTGCCTCAGTGACGGAAGACACTCAAGGCTGCCAAAGGTGTGTTTCCCCAAGTAGCACCTACAGTTGACTGGATGCCTGCTGTGTGTCAGGCACTGCACTCAGACCTTTATAAGCACTCACACCCAATCCTCAAAATCACCAGGCACAATATCCAGGTAACAAAGAATCAGAGACGTTATGTCATCTTCCCAAGAACACACAGCTATCAAGCGTCCTGGCCATGCTAAGCCATTAAAAAATAGTGTATGATAGTTTTTAGCAAAACGGAGGTTTGAACCTACAGCAGTACACCATCTAGGAGCCTACTTTGAGTCATCCACGATTCCAGGACTGGCTCCGTCACTTTCTCCCTGTGTGACCTTGGTCAAGTTGTCTCGCTTCCCTAAACCCGTTTCTCTGTGCATGCAACGCAGATCCAAGTGGTGTATATGTAGTAAGTCAGACAGAGAAAGACAAATATTACATGAGGTTACTTATCTGTGGAATCTCAAAAAGAAATATACAAATGAATCTATACACAGCACAGAGACAGACTCAGACATAGAAAACAAACTACGGTTACCAAAGGGGAAAGCAGGGGGAGGATAAATTAGGAGTTTGGGATTAACAGGTACAAACTACCATACGTAGAACAGATAAGCAACAAGGATTTACTGTATAATACAGGGAACAATATTCAATATCTTGTAATAACTTATAATGGAAAACAATCTGAAGAAAATATGTATAACTGAATCACTTTTCTGTACACCTGAAACTAACACAATATTGTAAATCAACTCTACTTCAATAAAAAATACAGATATAACATAAAATTTGGCTAAAGGGAAAAGGTAAAAAAACAAACAAAAAAGTAGCGCCTATGCTATAGGTTTGCTCGCGATATGAGTAACACAAAGTAAGAGAACTCGCTCTCCAGTGCTCAGCAAGGTGCCTGCAGTGAGTTAAGAGCTCAGCTGACAGCAGTGGTTGTTATTCGTGCCGTTGCTCCTTCTGCCCCATCATCCTTCTCCGACAGCCCTCCGTGAACATCCTCACGGCCTTTTCCACGCGAAACATCAAATAAAAAAGGCCCATAGCTGATTTATGTGCCCCGTGTAGAATGGATGTCAGCTCCCCGCTGACGATGGATTTATAGGTTGGAACTGATGCTCTGAATGACTCCAAATTTGCTGACCCCCCAGAGGAACCATCCCACAGCAACAGACAGCCACGCGACTTACGGAGCCTACTGGCCATCCCAGGAAGTCCCTACTCGGAAGCAGGGTCACAAATAAAACCAACCCAAGGAGAGGAGAGTACCTGCCCCAAATTCTGCCCGGCTGCAGACTCCCGGAAGGCGCTCGGTCATCGTTCCATTCATTTATTTAAGCCCTGTTTGCGGAGGACACCCCTCCATGGGAGGAACTGTGCTAAGTGTTAGAGACGCAAAGGTGAGCGAGACCGTCATCACACCTGGCCTCGGAGGGCTGCGAGGCATGGGACACAGACCACTGGGCGAGTGATCCGTAAACAAGGAGACAAGCACATGCAGCTCTGTGATGAGGGCTCTCTGGTGGCCAGCACGGGGCGCACTCCATCCTCACAGCGACACAAAGCAGGCTTCCTGGTGGAAGCGGCCTCTAGGTTGAGACCTGATTTATAAGCAGGAGTCGGTCCGTTGAGAATGGGAAGAAATGCTAAATGAGGCAGGAGAAACAGCATACACGAAATCCTGTTAGAGGACTTTGGATACATCCTCGTGGATACAAGGTCTTTGGGAAATGGAAAAGTCTAGACTAGACACTGGTCACAGAGGGAGGAGTGGTGAGAGGCGGGGCTGAAGAAGAAAGCCAGGGCCAGATCAAGGAGGGCCTTCACATCCGCTGTTAGCGGTGTAGACTCCATCCCCTTGGAGAAAAGAGGCAGGCCTTGAAGTATTTGAACCAGGGAACTGATGAGATCCAACTGGAAAGGGATGGGCTGGAT